CTCTGAGGGTGACGGAGCACTGGAACAGGCTGCCCAGGGAGGTTGTGGAGTCTCCTTCTCTGGAGATATTCAAGACCCGCCTGGACAAGGTCCTGTGCAGCCTGCTGTAGGTGACCCTGCTTTGGCAGGAGGGGTGGACTAGATGACCCACAGAGGTCCCTTCCAACCCCTACCTTTCTGTGATTCTGTGATTCTTTGCTGCCACTGATGGGATTGAGGAAAATACTGCCTGTGCCCCCGATCCTTCAACCTATCGCCTCAGACCTCTGAAGTCCCTTTTGATTGCCTTGGGACTTCTCTCTGCGATCTCTTCACCCCAACCTGGCAGCCCTCTGAGTGCCTGCTAGGCAAGGAAGGAGGAAGAAGGGCTGGGTCTAACGAACACTGCGACTGCCCTTCCGCCGGAGCCACGGGCTAGAGTAAGACAGTTTGAAACCCACCAAGACTGCCAGGAACTGAGAGCAGTTGATGGAGGCAGCAGTCAGAACCAGGGGGAGTGAGAAAGAAGGGCTGATCCTCCATCAGACTTGCAAAGCCCCTGACTGGACAAAGCAAGCTGATTTTGCTTAATAGCTTAGAGCAAAGACAGCAGAAGAGGGAACATCCTGACTCAGCAACATCCAGAAAACAGTGCAAGGACCCGAGAAACAGCTTGAGACCTCAGCTGCCCTGAAGCAGCCTGTAACACTGATAAATCACACCGTCTGTCACTTTGCTTGCTGGCCACCTGCTTTCAGCAATCTCAGCCGTACCCTGCAGCCTCTGACAGCAAAGGCACAGCCTGGGTGAGCAGTGGCATGGTTTGCCCCCGTGGCTCAGCTGGAAAATCTCATTGTGAGGTGGGAAAAATAATCCCTCGCCCGCTTGCTTTTTGCATAAAAGGATGAGGAGGCTGAAAGGGTCCCCCAGATGGTGCTGGGCCAGCATCCCCCATGGGAAGCCCAGGTGGGAGTGGGGCACAGCTGCTTGGCTGGTCTCTGCTGGACCCAGCTGGTTTCACCCCACATGTGAATGAGCTGACTCAGTGAGCTGACTTTTGGGGGGAGAAAAGAGGGGTTGTTGCTCACGGGCAGTATTTCCAAATACCTCTGTCATTTGCCCCCTCCCCCCCCGCACAGTACAGCCAAGTGAGGAGGAGGCTTGTGCAGAGTTTCGTTTCTGCCCTCCGCTGAACAACAGGACGAAAGTTGGCTGGCATAAGAGGAAATGAAAGGACAACAACAAGGCATTGCTTATCTTTTCCAGAGCTACCATGAAGCACGCCCATTTCTATGTCAGAATTGGTTTCATTTCTCCAGATTCTTGTCACAGTGAGTAGGCGGAGCCTGTAAATAAAAAAGCAGAGAAGTTGAAAAAAGTTACCGATTCTCCTTGCTATGGGCCACTACACAGGTAGAAGTTCTCTTTTCCTTCTTCTAAAAATAATCATGCTTTTTTTGACTGTTATCTTCATTCCTTTCAGTAGTTGCATGTAAGAAGGCTGCGTAAGAGTTTAAAGAAAGTGTGGTTAAGCAAGGTTGCCAGGAGTAGGACTTGTGGTTTTCTGTGGTGAGGAAAAAGAAAAGATGTTGGTATTATTTCCTTTTTAAAGGGAGGCAACTGAGAGGCAGCGTTTAAGGTATGTGCTGGGGTGGGGGGGGCAGTGTTCAGCAACATGGACAGTATTCATGTGTAGGAGCTGGCAGTATTCATGTGTAGCATCATAAGTTTTGCATTGCTTCATTTTTTTCTGAGAAGACAGCTAGAATTAATAAACGTACAGCTTTGAGTCTGTGTAGTTTACCCAAACATCCTGAAGTCACAGGCAGGCAAATGTCTGAAGATAAGGTTCAAGGAAACCAATATTGCCCGGGTGATGGAGGCAGGGGCAGATCTGGTGAGGGGTTGTTACCGGACTTTCAGTATCAGTACGTCATCCAGGTGTCACGTTTTGCATGTGCATTTGGGCCAGCTTCAGAAAGGCACTTAAAAATTGCAGCTCTCTTTTTGTCCTCTCCTTCTTTCTTTCATCCGATGTTGTCACGGCTCAGTACACAAAGAAATCACTATGCTTGCATGGCCCAGTGGAGGGCTGCACTGACTTACCTGACCTTTTTCAGGTCCAGGTGGAGAACAGCTGGGTAGCCCCAGAAATCCATGCCTGCTGATTTACTTCACTGCTCACTGTAAGTGTCTTTGTTCGCCTACATATCTGTGTGTGTGGACTGCACTGTAGACCTAGCTAAAAAACCTGCTAGGTATGTGGTAAGATATAGCCCTTGCACTAAAATATTTCAAAGTTGTCACTTTTTTTGTCGTACTCTTTAAGTCTCAGTTTCCCAGATGTCACAAGTTTATCTTTCCCTTTGTTTTGTTTTTACTGGTGGCTTCACTACATTACCTTTTGCATTTCATCCTATTCTTTATAAGGATGGCTAAAGCTTGCTGTATGACCTCTTTTGGAAGGAAACACATCCATGTTTAAGTGGCCAGATGCTAAAACCTGTACATCAATAACTCTGAACATAGCCCAACAAATATAAAAAATAATGTGAAAGTGACAGAAAATTGTTCCTGGGTAATACTTACATTAAATTAAAAATTGATAGGAAATATTCATTCCACTAAATTGAAAGGCAGGTAGAGACTGTCAGAAACATTATTATCAGCAAATTATTTCCTGTAACAATAGAAAATAGCAAAATAATCTGGTGGCCAGTGAATGGGGAATGTATGTTGCAGATAAAGCACTGAGTCCTCATTCGAGAAAGAAAAATGTTACCATTCACTAACAGAAAGAGAAAAAAGTTCATACTGGAATATTAAAGAAAGGGGACATGTGGAGAAAGATGAGGTAACTGTAAAATGAATACCTATAAACAAATTAAAGTAGTTCAGTCATCTTCTATTGCTGGTCAAAACTGAGAAGTTTCTCCACAGTCATTTATTTTTTATTTTGATAAAAGAAGACAGGAATATCTATTAAAAAATGTATTGTTTTATTAAAAATAAAGACTGAATAGCAAGTGTGGAATTAATCTGTTTTTCCTAAACTTGTTTTACACACTGGAAGTATCACTTACTTTGTGTCTGATCATCCTGCTTTGACATCTGCTCAAATTAGAAAACATGTCAACTTAATTCAGCCAAAAATTTGAAAGAACAAGAAGTTGTTTCAAGCAATACTCTATTTCTCCTGATTCATTTTCCCAAGTGTTTGTGTTCAACAGATCTTGTTTTTGGCAGGGGGAGATTACAAAAATCTATCTTTGAAAAAATACTGTTGGGGTTTTTTTTCTTTAAAAAAAATACTTATTTACTCTGTCACAACTTCTTTTTTTGAAAACACAAAGAAAGCATAAAAGAGGTAGGGAGAAGTGTTTCAAGAGCAATTTTGGCGATCTGAAAAGAGCTGTGGCACTTGATATCTACTGAGGGTTTGAATCAGTAAATAAAACTGGTGTTTGATTTTCTCTGCAATGATCACTGTTGCAAGCTGGAGTCACTCCGTGCCCTATGTTTGATTTCAGAAGCTGTACGAAAGAGTGTTTGGACCAGACAGTAACTACTGTTTGCAAAGCACTTACGGACAACCTGTGTGGTAGGCCAAAAAAATCAGCAGGCCATGAATAACAGCACAGGGTTCATAAAACGTCCTGAAATAACCAAACATGGCCTGAGGAATAATGCTTTTGCACCACCTTCCTTACAACCATCTCCAGAAGCTTTTGCAGTACCTCTCCCGCCAGACTTAGAAGATGAAGGTCTTCCAATGTCAGAGAACATGATTGAGAGAAAGCCTAACTCTGAGCACAACCAGTTGAAGAAACAGTATCATGAAGAACAGAACAAGGTAAGGCAAATACCAGAAGAGGGCATAGATCCTCCTCACTCTTACTCCTCTGTTTCACTTTGTGCCCTAAAATGAATTCCCTTGTCTCTTTGGGCAATCTGCACATGTTGGGTCTAAGCAGAGCAGTACTTCTGGGATCAGGGCCAAGCAGTCACTTGTGTAACTAGGAAGACAGGTACCTGCAATTAATCTGCAGGCATAAAAAATGCAGGTGTTAACAGTATGATGGCAGCAGCCTAGCAGCCAATTTAACGTGCAACTTGTATGTTTCATTGGCAACAATCAGCAACTGTTATACTGTTATACAGAAATCCTAAAATCTGAGATATTTTTTACCTAAGGCTCTGCTACCTTCAACAGAAATACAAAGAAAGGTTAATAATGACCTGTGTTGAATCTTTGACACTGAAAACAGATTGTTTTTAAATCTGTGTCATAGTTAATGAAGTTCCTTGAGAATGGTTAGGATTTACTAGCTAGTAAACATTGTAATGAAGATAGTGGGGAGGGGTTACCTATAAGATTTTAAAACACCTGCTTCCAGTTATGTGTGCTGTCTTTCTCATCTTGAAAGAGAAATCTGCTCTGTTTGATTACATCTGATTGACAGACTTGTTTTCAGAGGTGGCTTTCTTAGACAAAGGTGATGGTGGTAAACTTCAATTTTTCTTTTCAGAAAATCAGGTATGAATGTGCCTGGCCCACTAGGGTCAGTAAAATATTGGTGTTCTCAAAATTGCATTTGTAAATGCAGCAGTCAGACTGGCAAGTGCAGAGAGGAGTAGGCAGAAGAAACCAAGCTGATCTTTATACACTTTAGCTGGACATATTTAACTGCAGGTGGACCAGTTTTGTAAAGGACTGGAAATTCTTCAGTTTGTTTGCATGAAGAGCCTGTGTTAATATCTGGCAAGTGTATCAAACCCCCAAAATTTCAATAATCAGTCATTTAAAACAAATCACTCCTGTTCATCCCTTACCCTAGCCTAAAATAAGGCAAAGAAAGAAGAGCCATGATGATCTAAAAGATTTTAACCATCTGTTAAGGATGATACAGCAGAACGCTTTTGGTATCTGTGCACAAACTAAACATTCAATCTTCAAAACAAAGATTTAATAAGCTGTTCTGTACTAACATCTCTTATTACTGGGATTAGTCTTCATTTGTATACACATACTTCAGTACATCTGTAGATGAGTGGAAGAAAATGGCAGTTCTTAAAAAAAACAAATTAACAAAGCACATTTAGTAATGAGGTCTCCTTTTACTCTTTACCTTCTCAGGATAGCTCACTGTTTGGTATTTTTACTACGGATGGTCACTGAGCCAACCTCAACTGACTTTATCGTGTTTACAGGCACCTGTTTGTAACATGGAGGTGCGAGGATGCACAGTGATATGAAGCACATCTTGATGCCAGTACAAAAGGTTTACTAGAGAATGATGAGCTGGAAAATATGCCTAAAAGGTTGTGGGGGCTTTTGTGGAAACAACCTATTTTAAGATTATGGAAAATTAATTGTAAGTTTAACTGTAGCAGGCAGCACAACATACCTTGTACAACCAATATGAGGAAAAGATCCGACCCTGCATTGATCTCGTCGACAGCCTAAGAGCTCTCGGAATAGAAAAGGACCTGGCTTTGCCCGCGATCGCAGTGATCGGAGACCAGAGCTCTGGGAAAAGCTCTGTCCTAGAAGCCCTGTCTGGTATTGCTCTTCCTAGGGGCAACGGTATGAATTCACCTTCTCAGGTTTTCATTTGAATTTCGTTTTGATGAGGTAGAAGGTGGGGGGGGTGTGTGCCTTTTTTTTGTGGTTTTTTTGGGGGTTTTTTTTTTTGTTTTTTTGATGAATAACTCCATGACTGAGACTATATCTAAATTGTGAGACTCCAGAGGCCTTCTCAGCTCTGGTTTCCAGTAGAAGAAATGTATGTACAGGTGGGGCACTGCAGGGTAACTCCAATAAGGCGCGTGTTCTAGGTCGTCAAGAGACCAGGAGTAAGAATGTGGCGTACTTGCCCCAAACTGTGGACAGATTGAAAGATAGCATCAGTTGACTCTGTGCTTTTCCCAGCCAAGAGTAGTGCGGCAGAGTACCAGTTTCACATCAAAAACTAGTTTTGAAATTTGCTGCTGGGGTTGGTTTGCGGCTTTTTAACAGGATTTTCTTACAGATACCGTTTTGGGGGAAAAATGTACAAGATCTTTACTTACAAACATGTGCCTTTGATGTTGTTTAAGTCGGAGAAGATTGTTGGAAGACTTTGCAGTTCAAGAAGATTCACTTTCCAGCTCTGTGTGTGTGTGCGCATGACTGCAAGCTCTGTAGGAGTTAACAATACCATGTAGTCTTTCAGGCTGGACTTGAGGAAAAGGTTTTCAGAGTATGCAGGTACAGCATAGAAACTGGTCACCCAGAGGGGTGTGAATGTCCACCCTTGCAGGTTTGCAAGGCAACATGTGGCTGGCCAGAGCCATGGCTGACCTTATCTAGTGCCAGTGACAGTCCCACTCTGAGGAAGAAGTCAGAGCAGAGCCCTTTGGCAAGTTTCTTGGACTATTTCTGTGTCTCTCTGCAAAGTATTAGGCAACCCTGCATATGCCACACCGTCCATGGCTGCGTACCATGCATAACAACTGCTGAGAGAGTTACCTCTGTCTTTGGAACTATTGCAGGTATTGTTACTCGATGTCCCTTGGAACTTAAACTGAAAAGAATCCCTGCTACCCAGGCATGGAAAGGGAAAATGTGTTACCGTAACACCAGCTTAGAGCTCCAGAATGCCTCTGAGGTGGAGAAAGCAATAAGAGAAGGTGAGTTGCAATGTATCCCCTCTGATTTGGCTTGCTCAGTCTCCTCTGAATCCTTCCTCCACTTTTCTTCGGCTGAGAAGCAATCCCCAGACTAACACAGTGATTGTAGCCATGAGTAACACCAAGAGCTGAGCTCAGAGCAGAAGAAGGTGGGGTAGTACACCAAGAGAGTTGTACTACTTGCTGCTTCAGTGGTGAAGATGATCCTTGATGTCTGACAAAAGCCCAGGCTGTGTCCTCAGCTGGATGTTGTCTGTCTTATCTGGGGAGGTTTTCTGTCAAATTGCAAATATGCAAAGCCCTAAATGGTTCCTGTCCTTAATTCAAAAGCTCAGAGAATGCTTGAGGTGTCTGTGGCTGGAAATCTCGCAATTTTGAAGAAAATTGCAAGGTAGACTGGAGGGCATATAGAGTTTCTGCCAGCTAGTGCGACCATAGCCTCAATCATTACCCTTCCCATGTCACAGCTTTACTTTTATGGTATTCCATGCTGTGTAAGGAAACATGTAAGGACAGTAAGCATTTGTCCTAAATGTGAAAGTTGGATTGTCCTTATTTCCTTGACTAGCACAGCTCTGCAAAGTTGGTGTTTGTCCTTATGTTATTGCATTAGCTTTTCAAGATACTCTTTGGATATTTTCAATGTATCCTTTCAAAACTGGCAAGGTAAGTGGTATGAATTAATTAAGCTAATTACAGAGCCGAAAATGACTATGGGTTTCCTTCCTTTTCTGTGCTGTTCACAGTTCAAGCATCGTTGCCTTATAAGATCTGGTACAAATTACTTGATCTCTCAACCTCTCTATCAAAATGTGAAAAATATAAAATAACACCTATTTATCTTTCAAGGCAGCCAAGGATTAATTAACGCCTACAAAGTGTCTTGATGTTGAGGAAGCATTTCTACAACTGACCAGTGTCTTATCCGCTCACTTTCATTGTGGTTCACTTACATGCATTTTGTCTACATATATGAGAGTTCATAAGCATGTGCTCTGTAAAATACTACAGTTCACATTCCAAAAGGATTCCACGTATCCATGTATTGCACAAAAATTTCCTTAGATTTTTACATGAATGGAATTATGTGCATGGCTGGATCTGAAAAAAGCCAAACCTATAAGAACCCTAGGTGGTGGTAGATCGTTTTCGAAGTCATTGTGTTCAGCTTGGCTTTGATGCACTGCTTGAAGCTTGTATTCATTGTCTTGCTCTTTTCTCCTTGCAGCGCAGAACGTGGTGGCTGGTACTAAAGGCGCCATTAGTGGAGAACTAATTTCCCTAGAAATTCGGTCCCCAGACGTCCCAGATCTGACGCTAATTGATCTTCCTGGAATTGCCAGAGTGGCCGTGGGGGATCAGCCAAAAGACATTGGGGAACAGGTAAAACTCAGTCTCACATACCAAACTGTGCACAGGATCACTTCAGTAACCTACCTCGTATGTGAGCCTTTGCTGCAGGACGCTGGAGTTGTTATGCTGGGCTTCTGAGCCAACAATAGAGCTGTGTCAACAAACAGGCCTGTTTTTCAGGCAAGGAATTGCCGATAGGAACAGTGAGGTACAGGATCTCCTGTCTGCCCTGTCGTGCAGGAGGGAGCTGCCGATGCTAGCTGTGAAGGAGCCACCTCAGATGCCTGGCACAGACAGAATAACGTGGCCGTACTGACCCTGAACACAATGCTGCCCCTGTGCCTCTTGGCTAGACTGATAGATACGTCCCCAGATGAGTTGTATCTTACCAGCTCTGTGGATGTATTTGGCAAAGCTGAATAGGTCTGAGTTCTTGTCAGCTCATTTGGAGCAAGGCAGCAAATTAGACATCATAAAGGGTTGGTGCTCTGTCATTCCTTACTTGCAGAGCACATCAGAGTCTGACCTGTTCTGGTTTTTCTCATCCTTTAAGGCATCCCAGAAGACCCTTTTTGAAGGTGGTGAACATGCATTAAAACGAAGGGGGTCTCTACTCTTCCTCTGGCTTCTTTTAGAAGAAATACCAGGGAATGCAAATAAAACTATAGCTGGACAAGGCGAGTTGTGAGGGTGATGTGCAGGTGTTGGGTGTATTGTTTCTCCTAAAACACTTTTAAATAGGAACTTGGAATAAGAGTAGCACAGACTAAACTAGGCATATCAATAAAAATGAGGGAAGATTAGATTGTCTGGACTTTACTCTCTGGGAGAAGAATAATTTCATTTCACAATTAGATAGTAATCTTTCTACTGTATTCAGAAGAAAGCAGCAGGTGTGACATCATCCACACATTTCCATCATGCCCAGCTGCCTGCATGCTTCAGAGATGGAGGCTACAGCATTGTAGCTTGTCAGAAATCGGGATGGATGGGAAGTACAAAAGTGAGGCACCTTTACCAAAATTCAGAAGAAAAAGAGTTAACTTACGTGGGTATAAGCACAATACAGCTGTGCAAACCTTTTGCAATACAACATAAAATATGAGAAACTTTTTTATCTTGGCATTGCAACATAGAAACAATGCCAACTAGATGTGATTTGGGTTTTTTTTTTTCACAAGTACTCCACTGAAGTATAAGCCAAAGACATTTGCTCTTCTTTCAGAGATACAAATTTGAGATTTATCAGCATAATCTCTCCTGCTTTCTTTCTGTAAGTTTGTACTTAGACATCACAACTTGTTTTTCTGATATGTGACTATTTAGGAAATGTCTTTAATATTTCCATAATGAAAAATTATATGCACAAGAGGTTAAATTTCACATAGCTTTCAGGACAGGCATGACAACAGTCTGGTCTCATTCACTCTAGATGTTTGGATTAATCTTGACATAGGAAAAGAGGCTGCATTCTTCTGCTGACCCATTTCCATGCCATCCTTTAGAATGTAATAGTATCCTCAGTATAAGTGACATTTGATGTTGTCAAACAGTGGCTCATATTGTTAAAAATGGTCACATCCTACGTGCAAGCATCTGATTTCACTGAACTTCATTACTGCTGTATTGCATTTCAGATCAAAATGCTGCTTAAAAAAATTATTTGCTGCAAAGAGACACTCAATTTGGTAGTGGTGCCTTGTAATGTGGATATTGCAACAACAGAAGCACTGAGAATGGCTCAGGATGTGGACCCCAGTGGAGAAAGGACACTAGGTGAGGCATTTTTAAGCTACAAGTTGAAGAGAAGTGAAAACCTTTTTTTCCTTCAAGGTCTGATGTTCTGTATTCCACACCAGGTCTGTGAAATTAGCTACTATAAGAAGGGAAAAAAAAATTATAACGGTCTAAACAAACAACTTACAAATCTGGACATGATACAGTAGCTCTAAGAATCCCTCAATTTTGAGTCTTGTTGTCATTCATGTTATGAATAATTGGAAAGTGAAAACCTCAGAGTTAATGGTGGAAAAACTTTGCTGCTGCCTGTTAAGAAAGGTTTGCAAGGCAAAAGGCATGTTGGGAGGCCAACTGTAGAGCAAGTTTTACAGTGAAAAGCCTGGGAACTGAGAGCTTTCCAGGACAGAGAAAGCAAAATGAGAAGTTGCTTCATAAAACATGGTACAGAGCATTCCCACTCTGATGGTGGGGTGTCCTACTGCACCTCTCCCATCTTTAACTTCCGCGGTCTACTTTCTCTTTGGGTAACTTCACAGGGATCCTCACGAAACCTGACCTGGTGGATAGAGGAACAGAAGAGTCTGTCATTAACATAATACGAAATCAGGTCATCCCCCTCAAAAAAGGTTACATGATTGTGAAGTGTCGTGGGCACAAACTTTTCAGGTACTTCTTGCAGAAAGGACCTAATCAAAAAACTATTAAAGTCGCTTCAAAGCTTCCTGTTGACTTGCTGAGATTTAAATTAGGGTTACAAACAAATATATTGCCCATGTAGTCTTTGATTCCAGGAAGTCAGAACAATTTTACATGTCAAATATACTTATAAAATATATTTTGGATGCAAGTTCAATGTATATCTCTCCTGAACCCTGGGAGAAGTGCGATGAACTTCACAATAGTCCCAAAGAATTCAAGCGAAGCATCTGAGCACTTGAAGTCAAGCACTGAAGTATTTCTATTCACTGGAATACACGGTGAAACTCAGCATAAGAAAGGATACTTACTGCCTGTGCTGAGGGCACAGATTTTCTCAGAAGATGACTCGGTAGCAAATCAGTCATAACACAGAGAATAGCAAGTGAAAAGTGTTTTGAATCAGTGTACTTCACACATGCAGAAATAATACAGCAGCACATTAATCAGCTGTTAGAATTTGCTATTTTCAGATCCTTCTCTATTTCCCTCCGTTTATCCAGTAGCAGTCAAAACAATTCTTGCATAAAAGCCATGGTGCCCAGTGAGTCCTGGGCTGCTGCTACATCTGTACTAGCACTCCCCAGAGGGCCTTTTGTTACTCATTTGTGTAGTAGAACAGTGAAACTGAGCAGAGAATCAGTGCTGCCTCCTCACCCTGCACACACACAGTCTACCCAAATCCACCTTTTCCTCTTTTTTGCAGCATTCTTATGGAAGAAGGAAGGGCTACTATCCCTCTTCTGGCAGAGAAGCTCACAAATGAACTTGTAAAACATATTATTGTAAGTAACAGAGGTGCCATTATAAGCTATCTGTATCAGTTAATATCTAAAAATAAAGTCAGCCCTTCAACCTCAGATTGCAGTCGGAGGTTGCACTTGGATTGCATCTTTATATGCATAGATAGTACTTAATTATCCTTTAATCTGGCAATCTGAGAACAAATTGATCGGAGTGTTAGAGGCAAAGAAACTGTCCTCAGATTTGCCTTTAAACTGAAGATTGGCAATAGGCAAATCATTTCATCTACTTGTGACTCATAACTCCTGCCTTTTCAATGGCAGACATGATATTTCTTTCTGTTTGTGAACAGTGTTGAGCAGCTGGATGACAAGTTACTGCTATGAGCTTAGTAAAACACAATAATTTCTATTTAACTGAAAATGTCTTCAGAATTTCAAGGAAGATCTAATTGTTTTGTTGCATTACTATACTAACATAAATATATTGGATTTTTAATTTTACATACATGTATCTGTAAGTAATATATCTTACTCCATTAAGAGAAAATGCTAAGATACAGGGACCCTCTGAATTCAGTCCCAAAGGAGAAAAACAAAGGTATTTAAGTAACCTTACATGAAATAAGCAACTAAACAGCCATGTTCAATCAGGTCTTTATCAGGAATGGAGGGGTCAGTGCATTCCCTGCATTACCACCTCCCTGGCATAACCTGTAAGGACATAGTTCTTGGCTCACTCTTGGTAGGTGAAATGTTGTCCTAGACTGCAGCTACTCTGCCCGCCTCGCGTGGAGGTCTAGCCTGATTTGCCAGGGAGATCCTAGCACCGTGCCTTCTCTCAATGAAGGCTGTATTTGCACTTCCATGTTATTCCACCGTCACGCATGGGATGCAAGGACAGTGAGCTCTTGGACTCCTAAGAGCAGCAAAGATCATGTGCAAATGTAGGTGACTCTTACAGGGATTTTGTTTTCCTTCCAAAACCAGACATGTTCAGCCTCCCTAAATGTCCTTCTTTATTGTCTACCCCCAGAAAACTCTGCCAACACTAGAGAACCAAATACGTGAGGTGCTCCAAAAAACGTTACAGGATCTACAAAAGTACAGAAGAGGCACACCCAAAACAGAGTCCGAGAAGCTGTTTTTCCTCACAGATGTAAGTAACAATATTGGTTTGGTCACAGACAGAACAAGGAGGTAAATGTGAGAGAAAAAGAAACCACCTCAAGTTAGCAAGCTGTCAGCATGGACCACCAGGGAGCTTATGGTATCTGTCACCAAAGTGTTTTGAGACTAACATAGACAAATCTCTGGCAGGAATACATCACACCCACAAAAATAATGGACCACAGGAGCTCATAGCCCCTTCTAGCAATTTTCATCTGTGATTACATGACAAGATAACTGAACAACAGCTCAGCTGATTGGTCAAAATCAGGCATCTCAGAGAGGGAAAACTTACATTCCTGCCTGCCTGACATTTTGAAGGGATTTCATTGTTTACCACACTCATAAGATCAAATGCATTCCTGATATTAAAATATGGTTTGCAAGTCCATCAAAGTGTCTCATCTTGGGGAGGCAATCCCTTACAGTGAGCTTATGGCAGGCCAGCAGAGGTGCTTATGAAGGCTCATCAGCCTTCGAAGACTTCATACAAGTCCAGTCAATTAGAATTTAGTAAATGGTTCAAAGAGCCCACAGGAAAACAAACAAACCAAGAAAAAAATGAAACAAAAACCATGAGTATCAAGTTTGTTCTCTAGCTGCACTGGCTTTGTAAAAGAAAACAACAACCCAGGAGATAAGAGCATAGAAGATATAAGGAAGGAATGTTTCCAATGAATCATGTCCCTGCTTTAACATCAAATGACTGCAGATTTGCTTAACATATGCAAGTTAGTCTGAAGAAATGAAACTTTACTACATTGCTTGCTTGTTCTTTGATTCATCACAGTTGATCAAACTCTTTAATCAAGACATCTCTCTGACAATACGTGGAGAGGAACATTTGATTGGAAACGAGGTCAGACTGTTTGCAAAAATCCGCAGGGAGTTTCGAACATGGGAAGTGACTCTCACAGAGAGTGCTGCAAAGGGTAAGCACAGAAAACCATTGCTTGCAGCTGACCTGAGATTCCATTCTCTTGCTTTTAAAACAAGACACAGCATCATCAACGGGTTGTTTTTAAGAAAGTGAAAAACAAGAAGGTAGGAGCATTCCTTTGTTGTAGTGTTAAGCAAGTTATGCTTTGGTCCTTGGGAACAAAGACCCCACTTGCATTAATGATGTCATTATGGAGAGATCAGTGAATGTCTCTCTTCTCCTAGCAAAGCAATAAAATCCAGACTGTGGAGCCTGGCACAGAATTGGTTGGTGATTCTCTGAACCATTCTTCTAAATGACAGCAGCAATACCAACACCAACACTAAATAACGACAACAACAATCATAATAATAATAGCAATAACGACAAAATTAAACTATATAATAAATTTGTTATAATTCTATTACTATTGTTGTTATTGTTATTAGGAATGTTTTGGGGTTTTGGTCCTTTTTGTTCTACTTTTCCTTTGGTTTAAGGTGTGGAGAAAGCAATTCTGAGTCTGAAATAACCACAGCCTTGTAAAAAGTACCACTTTCTGCTCATCACCCTCCTTGCTAATTGCTTCACTGAACTCATTCCTGAACTGAGGCGTAGGGTGATATACACAGACTGAACACTGCTGTACATTCAGCATCTTTTGCAGCATCTTTTTCACATCTTTGAGAGATACCACTGGTTGCTCTTAGAGATGAAATAGCATCAGCTGCCACTCAAGCAGTAGCTCTTGAAACAAGGATGCACATCTATGTTGACATCACTGGTGACTTTAAAATGATAGGTAAAAACAGGTTGCAAAGGTGCCATCAGCTGGAGTGAAATATATGTATATATATGCATATCTGTGAAGAGAGACAGACAGACATACATTGAATCATAGAATCATGGAATCATTAAGGTTGGAAAAGACCTCTAAGTTTATCAAGTCAACCATCAGCCCAATACCACCATGCCTGCCAAACCATGTCTTAAAGTGCCATATCTACACATTTTCTGAACACCTACAGGGATGGGGACTCCACCACTTCCCTGGGTAGCCTGTTCCAATGCCTGACTGCTCTGCAGTAAAGAAATTTTTCCTAATATCCAATCTAAACCTCACCTGATGCAACTTCAGGCCATTTGTCCCTGTCCTGTCGCTAACTAGTTGGGAGAAGAGACCAACACCCACCTCAATACAACCTTATTTCAGGTAGTTTTAGAGAGGGATAAGGTCTTCCCTCAGCCTCCTCTTCTCCAGACTAAACAGCCCTAGCTCCCTCAGCTGCTCCTCATGAGACTTGATCTCTAGACCACTCACCAGCCTCGTTGCAATTCTCTGGACATGCTCCAGCAGCTCCATGTCCTTCTTGTAGTGAGGGGCCCAAAACTGAACACAGTACTCCAGGTGCGGCCTCACCAGTGCCGAGTACAGGGGCACCATCACCTCCCTACTCCTGATGGCCACATTATTCCTGACACGAGCCAGGATGCTGTGGGCCTTCTTGGCCACCTGGGCACACTGCTGGCTCATGTTCAGCTGGCTGTCGACCAACAACCCCAGGGCCTTTTCCAGCGGGCAGCTGTCCAGCCACTCTTCCCCAAGCCTGTGGAGCTGCATGGGGCTGTTGTGACAGAAGTGCAGGACCCGGCATTTGGCCTTGTTGAACCTCATACAGTTGGCCTCGGCCCATCGATCCAGCCTGACCCGATCCCTCTGTAGAGCCTTCCTACCCTTGAGCAGATCAACACTCCCGCCCAATTTGGTGTCATCTGCAAACTTACTGATAGAGCAGTCAAACTCTTCATCCAGATCATTGGTAAGGATCCTAAACAAGACTGGACCCAAAACTAAGCCGTGGGGAACACCACTTGTGACCAGCCGCCAGCTGGGTTTAACTCCATTCACCACAACTCTCTGGGTTCGGCCATCCAGATAGTTTTTTGCCCAGCTAAGACTACACCCATCTAAGCCATGAGCTACCAGCTTCTCTGGGAGAATGCTGTGGGAGACAGTATCAACAACAGCTTTGCTAAGCCTTTTTTGGTGTATGTCAGTGTCTCTTATGTCCCATCTATGAAGTACCAAGCCAACCAACGTGATTTTATGGAGAGGAATAAAATATCAAGACAATGAAGGTGTGAAGAAATAGATGTAAAAACAGCAGAAAGCACTAGCAGCAGGATGCAGCTGCTTCAAATGACAGAAGGCAACTGAGTTGCAGAAGATACGCACAGCATCATATGACAGCTGAACGACAGCAGGGAATCCTCTGAGCACTTCCAGGTTATCCCCATTGATTTAAATTAATGCATCCAACTTCACAATAGGATCAGGGTAGCGGCACACAGCAGCTTTTACAACAGCACAGCTGTTGTTGACAATATGCTACCTCAAAATCATATGCACTTCTTCTCAGGTGAAGTATTTGCATGTGCAGCAGAGTAAGTTCATTTACATAGCTTGAAAATTAGCCCTAGGTTTATCAAGTCCTTCCCCAATGAAAAAGCATTGTTATCAGCCACTGCTAGGATTTCTGAAGGTACATCTTTGCATGTCAGATGATTCTGTTTAACTTCAACTTTCTTATGATGAATAGATGTACTAAAAAATAGCAGATATTTTGGATACCTGAGGTCTTGAACTTTCTGTTGCAAAGCTGATAGATGCTCTTTTGACCATGTTACAGCTTTGTACTACCTTAACTGTACGGTACATTTTCAGACTCTGAATCAGATACTCCACATCTACTTCTGTCTTTACCTTTTTTTTTTTTGTTGCTGTTATTATCCAACCATGGACATGTATGTCTGAATGTTAAGACTTTCGTGCATTCATGGCTTGACTTCTACTGCCACATGTGCACTTGATCCATGATTCACAAATTTGACCCCAAAACAAGACAATATCAAAACCTTTCAAAACCCTTAAAACACAGCTTTGCCTGAGTGTGTAAACCCGTTCAAAGGGATATACCTCATTTAAGATGGCAAATTCGTATAATGTCAACAAAGAAATCTTGACTGTGATATCTTAAATAAAAAGTAGCTAGTGAACAGTAGATTCCCTGGAGTAAGACTGTTTAGTAAGTTTGTGGTATTGTTTTGTTCTGGGTTTTTAAAAACTCAGATGTGACTAGTAATGGCCACTTCTGTGAAGGTCACTATTCCAAGAAGAACCGGTATTTTGGAGCCCCATCATTATTTATGGATTGCTTTCTGTCAGTTAGATGATTGACCCAGTGCATGAGATGGCTCATTCATTGAGCAGCAATGTGTGTTATCCCAGTTTTGTAGTAGCAGCATTGCTTGAAAGATCATCTCAGTAGCTGTTCTTCTCAAGAGCATTTCACAGAGGAGAAATAGATTTCCTTCTTAAATCTGAAATTTATGAATTGAGTGTTTTAGTAGTAAAGCAATGTTATTTTAATATTACAGTAAAAAAAAATCTACCCAATAAAGTGTGGAAATACGAAGACCAGTATCGTGGACGGGAGTTCCCAGGCTTTACCAATTACAGGACATTTGAGGACATTATAAAAGAGCAAATCATAGAACTGGAGGAGCCAGCCGTTGAGATACTGAACAACGTGATCGGTACGTGTTACAGGCCACATGAGGCTGTCACGTGGGAGACTCTGGTGTGCCTGACAATTTTTTTTTTCCAGAATAAGCTGATGTTCTCACTGCTGGAACAAAAGCTCCAGCCAGGATACTTCAGAGTGGGGAAATGAATGTGATTCAGCCTGGGGGCTTGCTTCTTCTCTGCACCCTCCAAACTCCACACGTGGTCTCCAGCACTTGTTAATACTTTTCCCACTGGCTGGTGGAAGGGAGTTAGAAAGTAATGACAATAAATAACATAGTAAAGAAATAGTATAGTAGAAGTACCTGGTGCCAGCCAAAAGACTTGGTATTCCCAAGCCCAGGGAGTGGCATTCACGAACCTGAACAGGGAACCCAGCTTCTTTGCCAATTCTTTGCATGGCATTTTGTGTATTACACAGTGACTGCTGGGGCTGGGGGAAAGGGTGCATAGTTGATCCACTAAAAAGCACCCAAGGAAAAATATGTCATGGTCCCCTCTCACCACGTTTGCCTTAGAAGGCAGCTACAGCATCTGTGCTGGACCCAGTGCTTTGTGTTACATCCTTCCCTGTTCCTGGGGAGGACAATCAGGCGGTGAGATGCAGATGTGCTTACATGACCAAGTGAAGACACATCTGGTCAGACACAGCTGTAAGCACAGTAATTGATTTATCAAAGAAATCTCAGTGATGTTCAGTATCTCAGGTGTTAAGTGGTTACAGGAGGTCTTTAATGGTTCACACTCTTCGACTTAGAAATCGAAATTCCTGCTTTTTTGTATTGGACATAAAAGCATAGTGCATCAGTACAGCTGCTCAGCTATTTCTGGATTAATACAGAAAATCAGTAGTTTTCCCAAGTGTCATATTAACAACAGCTTAAAAACCTCACTTGCTTACCGGACTTTATTTTGTTTGTCTGTTCTTTCCTTAGACCTGGTTGAAAAGAACTTTATGGAACTCGCTAAAAGGCATTTTGCTAATTTTCACAACCTGAACAGAGCTGCTAAGGTGAGATACCACCTATAACCTGAGATAAGACAGCATGACATTTGTAAATACAGCCATACTTTCGGCACCTATCTCATTGCATTACCCTTCTGCAAGCATGGAATTTCTTGCAGGCCTATGGTTTTTATAAAATAAGGAAGAGCTTGAAAATGATAGCATGTTTATAATGGTTCTAAAGGAAATGCATTTTGCCTTTTGGTATGACTTCAACAAGATCTAAAACATACATTCCTCATTCATTCTGGTCACATTCTTGATGCATACAACACAATGCAAAGAAAATGTGGTATGGCTGCCTTGAAGAGTTCATAATTAATTCCAAATTGAAGTCCTGCCATGATTCATTCATCATTGCAGGACTTAAAGAGTGGGTAGCCTCAGAGTGCTAAACAGTGCTATTCCCTCTCTGAAAGACAAGCCAGGGTGTTTGCCAGTGCAGGAACCTCATCTTTGATAAAAGGGAGCCCAAAAATCATTCAGCTATGAGAGGATTAGAAGATGACTGTTCACAGTTTGGAGAATTGCATGTTTTGGGGTGGAGTTCAGTGATATGGATGTCAGTGAAGGCCTTTTCTCAGAAAGGGCTTCGAGGAAGAGATGTGAAGCAATGCTGGGCAGCAGGAAGCAGAGTTCACTCACAGGCTAGGGCTTAAAAAGGAAACTCCAAGGCAAACGGGAGTGAAATAGATGGTTTGCTATTTGACTTGCGTGGCCAAACCCTACAGAGCTCCCAGGCCAACGAGACAGCAAGCAAACAAGCTATTTCAGCCAAACACAGAGGTGCTTAGGAAAGGTCTTTAGGAATAACACAGCAAGAGGAATGAAGAGGGAGAAAGTTCTGGTAGACACTGAAGATGAGAAAAAAAGATGGAATGCTTTCTTAGGGATGCCAGGAAAGCATTTTAAGGAAATTTGAAGGTGACTGAGGGAACTTTGCTGCCCCCACAGACTTTTAGGTGGAAGTATCAAAAAGGCCCGAAAACATCAGATTACTGGAATAAAAGCACCACACAGTGAGGAGTTAGACAGGGCTGGTTTGCTGACAACAGACAGGAGACTGTGGTTTTTGAGAAGGGCGGGAGGGGCAAGGGAGTTCACATCACTGCCTGCTGTCACTGCCTGCTGCGAGAGGGAGACGCAAACAAAATGCATGCAAAAACCGAGGACAGGCAGCAAGATGAACTCACGGCTGGCCACTGCTGCTGGTTCCCACCAACCTTGTGTTTTCCTTCGGGGTCCAAGCACCAGGTTTTGACTGATCCCACTCATGTTTAAGGAGGGGACAAACCCACCTCGTTTTCCTCCTCTTTCACAACAGAGGAGCCAGAATCTACAGCATTACTCCATGTTCCCAAGAGCTGGTCTGGGATTAGACCCTGCTGCAGCAAGGACTGTTGAACACTGTGCCCACCTTGCTGTTCCCTGGGGACACTGCCAGGCACCAGCACCTTTTGCAAAGCAAGAAAATGTCTGAGAACTTGTTGTTCTTTTCTTTCCTAGACCAGAATTGAAGACATTAGAGAGAAACAAGCAGTGGAGGCTGAAAGATATATCCGGACCCAGTTTAAAATGGAGAGAATTGTATACTGCCAGGATGACATTTACTTTAACGATTTAAACTCTGTTAAGGCAGAAAATGCTACCAAAGCTGGCAATGGGAAAGAGCTGTTTGTTGTATCTATTGCGAATCAAGAACCCTCCTTTGTCCAGGAAATGGTTTCTCACACAAAGGCCTATTTCAATGTGAGTTTACAGGCTACGATACAGCATTCCTTCTGCACCTGGAATGCTATAACGTATACTTCTCGCCCAGATCTCTCTGCAGTCAATATGAGTCTTTCATGCAATACTACTACTATGCAGGGAATAGTAGCCAGAGGGTGTATCTTGTCCAGACACACACACAGCTTCTGTACGGATTAATCGGAGCTTCTGACCAGTGATGAAAACGCCAGGACGAAGCTGGTCTGAGGGGCTGTGTCAGCACAGTCACTGGGGAGAAGCAGTTGCATGCTGTGGGAGATGGTGATCAGAAAAGCCTGCAGATTGTTAAGACAGCTGGCTCCTAAACCACTTGTTAGCGACCCCCCAGCCTGGCATGGCTCCCTGCTGTGGCTGCCCCTCGCTCGGGGAATACACCATTGGCAAGCGAGTCCTCTTCTCACCCTCCTCTAGCCTTTCCTGGAGAAGGGGGTGACTCCCTGCTGCCTACACAGCCCTTCACCAGTACAGTGCTCTCTTGCTGGCTTTCCTATGGGGACAAGAGGCAGGGGGAGGACAGGACAGTCACTTACCAGCATGGAGGAAAGGACAGGATGGGGAAGAGCCCTTGGCCCTGCAATCAGAAGTTATTGATATTCAGTAGATGGCAAGTCCCCCTCTGCAGAAAAGGAAGCAACAGCCCAAGGATTGGTTCCCCACTGCCAGTTTGTCTCACGGTTTTCAAATGATGTTAGTTTCCACAAGCTTAACAACATCATGTGCAGCACTTCTGCGTTTGGCACAGTAGAAAGTGGTGTTTGTGGCTTGCAGTCAGATCCCAAATTAATGCAGCAGGAGGAGCGACACATAAAACGTTAAGTTAAAATGGATTCAGCTATCTCTAGAGATCAGAGTGCATGTGCTATATTGCAGATAGTTCCATAGACGTTAAGTCTCTGAAGACAAATGGGATGTTTTAACAAAGGATCATGTTAAAGAAAGGCAGCAAAGAGAGCATGCGGTATCAGGACTTGCTTTTGATCTTTGTTTTGTAAAACTCCCTCAGAAAGTGACAAGTTCGATATTAATAATGCAGTAAGGTAGGTAGCATCTCACCCTGAATTTCAATAGCAAGGTTTTGACAAATTCCTGCACTTAAATGTTCAGGATGCTCAGGCTGATGGAGAGAAATCAGAGAGCAAGAGATGAAGGCAGAACTGCATAAGCTCTTCCCTCCCACCTTGCTATACTCTCTGCTATAACACAAATGTCTTAGATGCTAGCTACACATTTTTGTAAATGCCCTAAGCATCATTTTCAGCAATAAGAAACACCGGGGCATCATATCGCCATGGGACTCATGTAAGGCCATATACACTTTGAATGAGATGGAATCTTAAGTGTCCATGGCCTTTCAAAATGGCATGCATGAATCTGTGTCACCTGTGGCAGGACTGTCAAGACTCTGGGTGGAGCATGGCTCCAGAAAAACACCCATATTTAAAGCACCTAGGCTCCCTCCTGCCACAGTCAGTAGTGCCTAAAGAATCTATAGGCTCAGTAAGTACTTTAGCTGACTCAGCCTAATTGCTTGCTATGGGTTAGATCTCTGCAAACCAGAAAGAAAAACTAAACATCTAGTCTATGGTATTTTTCAGCTTGAGCTTAGCCCCATCCTTGTACATGAAAGATTTGCAGCCACCGAGCTCCAGAGGTACCTAAAGCCAGAAACAGTGTAGACTTCTCTGGAAATGGGCTTCGTAAACCCTATAGGACCTCTAGCTGGTCTTCCCACTGCTATTTTCAAGTCAGATGCCACAAAAAGAAAGGAAGACAGCACCTCTCAATTGCAGTCAGTCTCCTAGGCATGAGCGCTTGTGTGGCACCAGGAGGGCTAGAGGCAGCTCCCTCCCATTGTTGGGGAGGTTTTGAACCTCCCATCGCCCAAGAGCACCAGTTAAGACCCCAAACCCTGCAGATGTCTCTGGGGAAAGGGCCCCACAAGCTCTTCTAGGTCAATCTGTTTCAGTTTGCACAGATAACTAAGACCAGACAGTTTGTCAGGTTAAGGAGAAAATTATCTCATTGGGATATCAATGGATGTAGTGTAGGCACAGTCTGGTCTCACTATTGCTGAAGACATTTTCCCTTAAGGCCAAATCTTACTCTAAAGCTGTCTTATGCTTAAAAGGACAGCTGTATCAGGAACATCATCTAAAGACAGGAATTTACCACCTTTGGAAAAAATCCGTTTGATTTCCATAATGGATTGGTAGGGTTCAGAGAAGAAAGGCTTGTCAAGGCTAAAGCTTACTCTAAAGCTGTCTTACGCTTTAAAGGACAACCTCCTCAGGAATACCATGTAAAGATGGGTATTTACCACATTTGGAAAAAAAAAAATCACTGTTTGATTTCCGCAACGGATTGGTAGTGTTCAGAGACCAAGGTTTGACACCAGAAATTGTTAACAAGTATTATTTGTCAGGCATGTCCTCATATAACTGTTACCAATGATAGCTGGCAGAGCTAAGCAGGGAACATCTTGCCTTGGGTTTTCTTAGCTGAGGGAAAAACGTAACAGCTGACACTCCAGTAACTTTAAATTTTTAGATCTTTAGGCACAGAGACTAATGGCAAGAATTTTTTAGTTCCTAGAAGCACTCACTTCTTGAACAGTAACTCAATACTATATTTTAAAAATTTGCTATCACTTCCTCCTGGATTAATTGTAGCCCCTTCCTTTTTTCTCCTTTTTGTGAAACAAGTCTTCTGCCTTTTCTTCCCCTTCCTGCAGGGAGCCAGTAAACGCCTCACCAATCAGATACCCATGATCATCCTGTCTTCTGCCCTGCATGACTTCGGGGACAACTTACAGACCACAATGTTGCACCTTTTGCAAGAAAAAGAGAAGATAAACCATCTTCTTCAGGAGGACAGTGAAGCTGCTAAACATAGGAGCTACCTCAGTCAACGAGTTGATCGTCTCAACAAAGCCTGCCAATACCTGAGAGACTTCACCTCACTCTAGATTTCTATTTTTCAGAAGTTTTTTACTACTGTTGTTTTCTAGCATTATTGAAGAACGTAGTAAAAAGCCCCTAAAAACATAATGTCAGCACAGAATTCTAATACTCATTTCTAGTGTTCAGTTTGGCTTTATTTTCCATAATCAGTTGCAAACAAACAGCTGCCCTTGCATAAAATACTCCACGGGGCAGTTGTGATGGATTAAAAAAATGTTATCCCCTTTTTAAACATTTGCTTTATAAGGTCTGTATAACCATTGAAATAATTGTTAAAAAGCTCCGAGGGCTGTCTTTTCTGTTTGTTTGTTTTTTTTAAATGAAGATGAGGGCTTTCAGCTGTATAACCCACAAACTGCAGAAATCAAATTATCTGACTAACTTTCCTAGACGAAGCTTACTGCACAACCCTAGCAATCCCCTAGATCCCTTTGTGCTTTTGCCTTTTTTATGGTCTTTTCTGCCATTGCCTGAAAGATGAGCGTGCAAGGTGTCTCCACTGCTAAGTCCCACCCCAGCAGGTAGAGAGGGTGCACACAGTGGGCATGAAACAGTTCTAGACTAGAGGGAAAAGAAAGTTAACTTCATCTGGTCAGTACATCCACAGGATGTTTCTCTTTTTTCAGTTCTCTGATTTGTAGAGAAAGCCTAAGAGGCTCTTTCTTTTGGATGCCTGAAATTTTGGGGCTGATGGGCCATTCACTAGATGGCAGGATTTGGATGTCCGAAAGGGATTAAATCAGCCAGGATGTTGAACATTAGAAGGGTGTCTCAGCATGTTGCTTGCTGCCTTTCTCCTTCCCCTCCCCAGGGCAACGTGAACCTTTCCAAAAACTCTTTCATTTCGTGGAAGCCAGTGCAAAATGTAATACTGCACGCTGTATTCATGACGTCTTCCATATGGAGGATTTATTTTAGTGGGCAAAGCTGTGCTCTGTGTAGCAACAGTAATGTCTGCATTCAGCTGAAAAAAAAGGTGCTTGTATCAGTAGTGCCACGGACTGACTTCCAAGACGCTTACAACAGAAGACCTCTCTTCAGGCTGGAAATGATAGAAGGTGTTTGACTCCCTGACATGAAACTGCAGCAGCAGGTGGCTAACTTCTGCAGCACCGTGGTCACCTCAGTAGAGCACCCAGCTTTCTTAACCATCGTTAGCACTGCAGCCAGTTTTCTGCTTTTCAGTTTGCGCAGGTGGGGCGTGCAGGGAAGGGCAAAGTCTCCCAGCTCAAGAGGTCAGTTTGAGAAGTTTGGCTGGTGAGAGGGAGCCTTGTCACGGTGTCCACTCGGCGGAAGGCTGTGTCCTCTGCGCTTGCTGGCAAGGAGGCATCAACCCAGACGGAGCTCTCAGGAAAGGACACAGCTGTCCAGGTCTCCAGCTGCAGGGAGTGCCACCAGCTTGTGCTGGAGCGGATGGCAGTAGTGCAAACAGCTGTATAATGTGTGATCAGCTGGACTGTCTGCTTGGCCTGATGGCAGAGCTAAGAGATGAAGTAGATAGGCTAAGGAGCATCAGGGAGTCTGAGCAAGAGATGAAACCTAAACAGGGACACCCACCAGAAACAGGCTGTGATCAAAGGGATCCAGTATCCTTCCCCCACGAGGATGTAGGCAGGGTCTTAAAGGGAAATGGTGAGTGGAAACAAGTCCACAACCGTAGGAAACTTCCCAGCCTATTGCAGCCCTCATAGTACTACCCATTACTGCTCTTCCATGTGGGTGGGGACACAGTTGCAGTAACGTAGCCCAAAGGTGATCAAAAGCAACTTCAGGGCCTTGGGGCAGCTCGTGAGGGAATCCGGGGCACAGGTGTTTTTTTCCTCCCTCCTTCCAGTTGTGGATGGTGGCATTGCAAGGAACAGGCGGACCCAACCTATTAGTATATGTCTCCATGGCCAGTGTCACCGACACAACTTTTGTTTTTTTTGACCCCTCCTCATAAGGAAGTCTGCTGCCTCCCTGAAGCCCGGGCGAGACATCACTAGGAAACTTCCCAGCCTATTGCAGCCCTCATAGTACTACCCATTACTGATCTTCCATGTGGGTGGGGACACAGTTGCAGTAACGTAGCCCAAAGGTGATCAAAAGCAACTTCAGGGCCTTGGGGCAGCTCGTGAGGGAATCCGGGGCACAGGTGTTTTTTTCCTCCCTCCTTCCAGTTGTGGATGGTGGCATTGCAAGGAACAGGCGGACCCAACCTATTAGTATATGTCTCCATGGCCAGTGTCACCGACACAACTTTTGTTTTTTTTGACAATGGGATGGCCTACACGGCACCAGGCTTGCTGGCATTAGATGGGATTCACCCTTCTCAAAGGGGAAAGAGGGTCTTTGCTCAGGAGCTTGTGGGCCTCATTGACAGGGCTTTAAACCAGATGTGAAGGGGGGGAGGGGGAACATATCAGGCTTGCCTGTGACAAGCTGTGGGATGGCACACAATGGTTGGAGGGACGGGGTGCTAGTACGGGCCCTCAGCCTGTTGCCCAGAGGTGTGCTGAGGACACTGCAGCACAGTCAAAGTCTTGCAGAGATAAGCTGGGAGCTTCTAAGGTAGAAGGAGCCAACAAGGAAACTTCCATGAAACACCTCAAGGGAAATAAGGGATGTTCCTCTATGAAGGTGACACAGCCAACAGCCCAGATGAAACGCCTCTACACAAACGCACACGGTATGGGCAATAAACAGGAGGAGTTGGAAGCTACCGTGCTGCTAGAAAGCTGTGACCTGATCGCCATTACTGAAACTTGATGGGACGAATCCCATGACTGGAGTGTGTCTATCAAGGGCTACAGCCTCTTCAGAAGGGACAGGCAGGGAAAAAGAGGTGGAGGCATTGCCCTCTGCATTAAGAAATCAATACAACGTGAAGAGCTGTCCCTGAAGAACAGCCACGAGCAGGTTGAAAGCTTATGGGTAAGAATTAGAGACAGAGGCAACAAAGGGAACCTTGTAGTTGGTATCTACTCCAGGTCACCTGATCAAGGGGAGCCTACTGACGAAGCTGTCTTCCTCCAGCTCCAGGAGGCTTTGCGCTTGCAGGCTCTTGTCCTACTGGGGGACTTCAACCACCCCGACATCTGCTAGAAAAGTAGCATGGTGAGATGTATGCAATCCAGGAGGTTCCTAGAATGCATTGAGGATAACTTCTTAAGCCAGGTAATTGACAACCCTACCTGAGGGGATGCAATACTGGACCTGATGGTCACCAATGCAAGTGACATCAAGGCTGGAGGCAGCCTGGGCTGCAGTGATTATGCATTGGTGGAGTCCACACTCCTGCGGGATATGAAAAAGGTGAGGAGTATAGTCAGAACCCCTTAATACTAAACAATTTTTTTCCCTTCCTTGTAGGAAAACAGGTAGTTTGCAAGTGGTTTTTGACAATGGTTTTTCATGACCGGCATGGCTGAGTCAAGACCTGCTGGTCAAACTACAGGGCAAGAGGGAACTGCACAGGCAGTGGAAGCAGGGACAGGTATCCTGGGAAGAGTATAGGGATGCTGCCCAGTCATGTAGGGATGGGGTCAGGAGGGCCAAGGCACAGTTGGAGCTGACTTTGGCAAGGGATGCTAAGAATAACAAGAAGGCTTCTACAAGTATGTCAACCAGAAAAGCAAGGTTAAACAAAGCATACCCCCCCTGAGCTGGCAGATTTTTAAGGACGCTTTCCATATAGTGCAGGGGCTCTCAGTCCCCAGGTGTAAGAAATCAGCCAAGGAAATGAAGAGACCAGCATGGCTGAGTCAAGCCCTGCTGGTCAAACCACAGGGGCA